GTGGCAACACGCTCGGATCGTCACAAGCAACGGGCCGCGAGCACGCCGCCCCGCCCCGCCCTGCCCCCCGCGGTGGCGTACCCGGGGCCGGGCGTACCTCCAGACACACTCAGTAATGACGGCTAAGAGCTCGGAACTCTAGTTAATGGTTTCCTTCGCGGCGGCAATCTTCCTCACGACTCTTTCTCTTCCAGGGACGTGGCCACCGCTAGGGCCACCGCTAGGGCCCGCCTGCGACACCCTCCGCCACCCAATGACTCAATCCCGCGTGACTTGCCGGGAGGGCCGATCTGCCCCGCTTGGTTTGGCCCGGCACTGCCTGGCACTCGGCGGACTCGGAACGCACCTTAGAACGTCCTTTCGTGAACCAATTCACTTCAATGTTTCGAGTCAATCTATTGCATGTAAATTTTTGGGTACTTTGGGTGCGACCCCTTGGCCGTGCGTGGCTCCCTCGCTGGCTGCCAGCGACCGCCTCGTTTCCAGGACCCTCGCACTGCCGGAAGGCCGCAACGTCCTGCCTCGTTTAGGCCGCGACCGCAACACATCTTTACAGCATCATCAGATTACGCGGCCAGCGCGCACCGCGAGGAAGGCCCCGCAACACCGCCTGCAGGCACCGCCTTGCACAAATGCACTCAAGGACAAGGCGGTGAAAGGCGGCCGGTGCCGCGGGGGCCGGCTCGTGTGTACGTTTAAACAAGTTTCCTCGCTAGTCGGTGGTCGCTTGTTTCCATGGCCACCATACCTCGCGATGCTTGGAAAAGCGGTGCCCCAGCCTTCCCTAGGAGCCCCGGTTACGAAAAACCATACCGTGTACCCCCAAAACCGTACTCTGTACCCCCAAAACACCGTACTGGTTGAAGCTGATTGTCTACCAGTTCCGTGGTTGAAGAAGAACTGAACGCCCACTTGGCTGAGGGAAATCAAGTTGTCCCTTCCTTTTCCTCCGCGGCCGGACTGCTGGCGCTGCTGGCGGACAGGGCAGCCCTTATGAGTGGGCGCTCGCCGGCCTTATCGGCGCCTGGAATCTATTTCCTCATAGCCTCTGGCCCAGGGCCTGGGCCTTCCCTGGTAACTGGATTATAATTACCGAAGCGTTTCATCAGTCCAAGCCGGCCGGCCGGCGTGCTGCAGTGTGCTGGACTGGACACCGACCCTCAGGCAAAGAGAGCCCTGAGTCGTTGAAATCTCTCGGCGGTGGTATTCGGTACACTGCGGAAGACGGTGTTCCTGCTCAGGTGTTGTCAAGTTACCTGCGCTCGCTTTAGGTTTTATTTTTCCGCGAGACCTTGATGTTGAGCAGTTTGAAAGTCCGCCCCTGCCCACGTGTCATGTCAAGCGCCGGTGAGCAGCACTTCAAGGACGGTGAAAAACGAGCCAACAAACGCCTCTAAGAGCGCCATGAGAGAAAAGGCTTCCAAGCACATATTCATGACTCCGTCGAAGTGGCGGCCAGGCCTCCCGTTCGAGCGACGCTAGCAAGCAAACGACTGTAAATTTGGGCCTGAGCGCTTCCGGCCTACCAAGATGGCGTTGTTGTGGAGGATTTACTCCTCACCTTGGTCCGCCAGCGCGACCGGCATGAGGGAGACCTCGACGCCCGCGCTCTCGTCCCCCAAGACTGTTATTGCCCCCTCTCTCTCTCTCTCTCTCTCTCTCTCTCTCTCTCTCTCTCTCTCTCTCTCTCTCTCTCTCTCACGCACGCAAGGACAGCCGCGGTCCTAGCGCCGTACCGTTTCGTTTCACACACGCCGGCCGACACTCCGAAATGAATTCCCACGAAACCTCACCTGACTCACCTCGACAAGACAACGCACGCGCCGCGACCGCGCCGTGAGGAGACGCAGCCTGCCGCGTGGCGTGACGTGGCAGTGGCGTGACGTAGCGTGGCAGTGGCGTGGCAGTGGCGTGGCAGTGGCGTGAGCCGCCAACACAGGTAGTGGGCGGACCGCGTCACGAGAACGTGAAAATGACGAAAAATATCGACAGTATTCAGGTGCGGTTTTGACGAGTTTTCACCAACTACGCAGACCCAGTGATGCCAACCGTGTTGCGAAACCCGCCGAACCCAAGACAGAAGCACTGCCCTTAAGAGCAATGACGTTCACAATTCTCGGTGGTTATTTCTACCTTTCGAACGGAGTGAGATCCACGAGACTCCTTGGGAGGTTACGCCTCGGTTCATTGACGGACGGCCCCGGTGTACGCAACGCGGCGCGCATCCCCATCATAATAATGATTCGATAATGATTTGAATTATGTTTTTTACGCAACGGGAATGGGTGCGGGCCAGTCCCGGCGTTTTATTGAGGGGAACGCCCGCTGCCACGAGGAAACAACAGCCATCGTTTCACCCGCCACCGAACTCTCAAAACGATAGCAGCCCAGCTGTTATCATACCTCACCGGACGTGGATGGGTGACACACCGTTCGCAAACCACCTAGTTTCAGTCCACATTGATATGGGCGTTCAATGAAGCACTGTAGAGCAGCCAGCGGAGCGTCGCGGCGTGGACGGTCGCCCGCACGCGTGTCTTGCGTCTTTCGTCCTGAGGTCCTCGGTTCGCCGCCCGCCGCACCGCTGTTTCGCAAAAACCGAGTCTTTTCCCGCGCCCCCGCACTATCGGCTTGTCATCAGCCCATTTGGAGCTGGAGGGCGAAAAGGGACGCGGCGCGCGGCGGGGCACGGCGCTCTAGGCACGGCATGGTGATGAGACGAGAGTTGCCAACCTTACTCTGCGGCTGCGCGGCTGCGACTCCGCCAACCATCCATTATGGAGACATGTTTTCCCACCGCTGAGGGCAATTGCTCAACAGTGTGCGCTACGCTTGCTACGCCACGCTTGGCCCAGCTTGGCCCGGCTTGGAGCGACAGGGCCAGCAGGCTTTGTTCCAGCGCTGGAAACTCCAGCAGTAGGATCGACGCCACAATCAGTTTGGGCTGAGGCCCGCGCCATCACCACGCCGTCCACGGAGCAAGGCTGGAGCGAGGCGGCCGGGCGGTGGGAATCTCCGGGGACAAGTAATTTGCAACAATAAAGGACGACGCCGCTAAAAAAAAGGGTTTCGTTTTGCTTCGAAGTGAGAGTAACTCACACAGGGCGTGGCTCGATAAGCTTCAATGATTCATACGGCACGGTCCGCCCCATTCAAAACGCAGCCACGCCAGCCTCGCGCCTGCCAGCGCCAGCCGGGCCCACTACAATCGGCATTTTGCATTTGTGGGTTAATGGCATTAAAGAAGAATAATATACCGTTCCATGTCGCAGCGAAATGGGGTGCAGTGCCTGTGTGTTTGTGTGGCCGTACCGCTAGCTTTGTGTGCTTAGCCCCGTCATGGGGCATGGAGGCGAGGCTCGACACATTCCTTTCACACCGACACGTAACTGATCCCTGCACAGGCCTAGCACAGAAATTGGACTGTATTATTATTCGCACTTCTCCGACTGGTGCTATTTTTCTTGGCGGTATCCATCATAGCGCACGAGTTTAGCAGACTTATGTCCCTGTGTGCGTCATCAGCTGGTGAAACACGTCTCAGCGTGCCCTTCGGTGCTCTCCCAGGTGCCCTCTGCTCTTTTTTAAAGGGCCAGGCCGACGACCTGGGTGCACACGGTGCACGCGGAGCGCACCAACCGGATGCGCGTCCTCGCGTCGGGGAGGGGAGCGCGTCGTCGTGGATGTCCCGGGGGAGGCCCTGGATGTCCCGGGGGCGGCCTAGGCCGGCGGCGCGGCGGGTGCGGGGCGTCTCAGATCTCCGATCCTCATCTCGTATGATGATGAAGTCTCCGCAGGTGCGGCGGCGACGAGCCGAGCCGAGCAGCCGAGCCATCTGGACATCTCGGGGCACCTGGGGGGCAAGGCCCTTGTGCGCCTGCCCGCCCGGGGCACACGGCCCGGCGCAGTGCCACCACGGCGATGCGGGGCAGGCACGGCACGGCACGGCACGGCGCGTGCGGCTGAGTATCAGGTGCCGTGCCAAGCGCGCGCCAAGCGGGGCACATCTGCCACTCATCCACGCACCCTCCTTTGCCTCGACGATCACGGGCATTCACTCACTCACACACACACAGGCACTCACATGACGTACATGTCCGTCTGCCCAAAGTGGCCAAGGCTGAGGCGACATATATGCAGACGGCTGTCCCAGATCCACGCGTGCATACCCACACACAAACGCACACTCACTCACCCAGGCGCACACCAGGCGGCGCGTGAAATGGTCGGAATGTAGGGCTGTGCCTCTGCGCCCCGCTCGCCGCGCTCGCCCCGCGTCACACACATGTTGTCTTTTCGTCCTGTGGGATAGTTGCGGAGGTGTTGCTTCCCCTGAGGCGAGGAGGAAGCGGGGAAAAAAGGGTAGCGTCCCCGCCTGTTTTGCCTGCTTCTCTGAGAGCATTTCCGATTTGAATCTCTTGTCTCTGCCTCCCTGTCTGTCCGTCTGTCTGCTTGCCTGCCCGTCCGTCCGTCTGTCGGCCCGCCAGCCTGTCCCATTCCTCTGCGTCGTGAGAAGCTCGCTACATATGAGTCATCCTGTGACAGTGACAGGGGCCTAAGTGCAACGCCTTTGTACAAATTGATTGTGCTTGACCGTGACTCACGGCGCCGAGGCCGGCCTGCCTTTGGGAGCCTCGGCAAGCCTTTGGAGCCTCTGGAGCCTCTGGAGCCTCATGGCGACCCCGGCGCGCATTCAAGTCTCTCAGGGCCATGGGGCCATGGGAGCACTAACTGCACTGCCTTCACTAAGCTGCCTTCTTGACAAAGTGACGTGCACCCACCCGCCTTTCTGCCTCTGTGACACTGGATTACTGCGGCACGTTTGCATGTATGTACTGCACTCAAAACTCCGACAACCCCAGGTAAACAGAAACTCACACGTAATTTCGAACAAAGTAGAATCTTATCGACACCATGACCACCACACGACTTGGGCAAGGCATGAAGTGGCTCTCTGTTGGTCACCCAGCCGCTTGAATCCCAACCACCACGACACTCACCGGTCACCAGGGGTGAAGTATTCCTTAGCTGGGCGTTAAAATCCACTACACTGCACTGAACACCGCACCGCGTCGTTCGCCACGCGAGTTGAGTCGCGACGTTGAGAGCGTCGAGAACCACGGGGCGGCCGGGCCAGGTGCGCGCGTCTCGGCGGCCAGAGTACGACTGAGCCGGAGGAAGGCGAGGCTGAAGCGGCGGCAGCGACGCCGCACCGCGGCACCGCGCCCGACGCGCCCCTCCGCCGCGCCCAGCCACGGCCCAGCACAGAGAGGGTCCCTACGCCGCCCCACCGGCCGCGCCGGGTCCGGCCGTCTGCGTTCGGGTCCGTCCGCCCTACGTAGTGTGTCCGCCCCAGCGGCCTGCCATGCGGCCTGCAGCGCCTCCGGCGGGGCTCGAGCCGCCCGTCCAGCCGCGCTATAGCCGCGCCGACGACGTACCCTGTTGTGGACACCGACTGGGGCGCCGACTGGGGCACCGACCGAGCTAGACGCGTTTTTGTACTCACCGAATAGCGCCACAAAAATTACGCAGATACGGCATCGCCCCGCGGAGACGCACAAGAATGATTATGTATTTACGTATAAAGTGGTGTTCAAGGGATTCACATGTCGCTTATGTATGTTTTTGCATGAGGCGAACAGGGTACTCCAATGAATCTTGAAACGGGAAGAAAAAGAACAAAAGTAAGCCCTAAAAACAGCTGCTGCGCATGCGTACCGGGTAGTGGGGAAACGTCCGCGCATGCGCCGAAGCTGTGTTTAGAGCTTATTTTTATTCTTTTTCTTTCCGTTTCAAGATTCATTGGAGCACCCTATTACAGAACGCTGTGTCGATTCATTACTTATCTCCTGGCCTACAGAGTTGATGTGCGCGATCCGTGCAATCGTGTTGTTCTGCGAATGGATGGGCAGCGGATTACGACATGAAACTGTTTCGGGAATCCGTCATCGGCCTGTCCTCGGCGGGACTGCCCGAAAGTGGTGACGAACGAGTCGAGACAGGATTCGGGCTGGAGATTGGACGGCAACGCAGGCAGAGCAAGGCAGAGCAAGGCAGAGCCACTTGCCGGGCGAGCGTCGGCTGCTGCCGAACATCCCAACAATGTCGCCGTGCCGTGCCGTGCCGCGTCCGCCGTCTCCGGGGACTGGCTGGGTAGCTGGCGTGTGCTCGGTATCGGCTCGTCCAGACAGCCGTGCTGTGTGTTCGGCGGGGCCGCGCGGGGCCGCGTCGGGAGGACGCTCTGCGGCGTTCTGCGGCCACGGACATAAACAAGTGAGTGAAAGTGGTGCAAAGCGATTGTTTTCCTTGTTGTCCCCCGGATTGAGATGTTGTTGTTGGTCGTATCGACGTGTCGATCGTCCCTCCTCGGCGTTGCCTGCCTGCGGTGCCTGCCCTGCGGTGCCCCGGGCTCGCGGATCACAACGGGCCTCTTCTGGGCAACAACCCGCTGCTGGCGACCACAAAGTTGTGGCGCTCGGAGTGCTGGCCGGCCTCATGGAATGGCCTTTGCTGGGATGGTTTGGCGACGAAACTGATTCCGGGAGTCGTTTTCGTCGTTCTGTCTCTCTCGCACCCATGGGGCCTCCCGCGCAGGTACGAGAGAGACAGAGCGACGATCTCGGAATCAGTCCGCTGTCCGACTTGGCGACGGCACTCGGCCGTTTTGTTTACGGACCGGCGTCGCGGCGCATTCGCGACATCGCCTGCGGCATTCCGATCGAGTGAAGTGTCCTCATCATCGCAACGCGTCGCAACGGGGAGCTGCCTGGAAAAAATGTGGCCGCGTCGCCGGGAATGCAGGGAGCCGAAGGAGCCGAAGGACACGCAACCCCCCGTGCATCCGGCCCAAAGGCGGGCGGAAGCGCTGGGGCGGGGCGGGGCGGGGCGGGGCGGGGCGGGGCGGCGCGGATCAGCGAGCGGCTAAAGGGGCAACCCGGCCGGATAATGACAAAGGAGGACCCGCATGACAGCGAAGAGGGCGAGCCGTGGCGAGCCGACATCCTTGTTGTTGCAAGCCTCAATCAGCGCGGGGAACAAACATCTCAGTCCGACGGGGTTGCCCGCCCAGTTCATCTAGTTTCTCAGACGAAGAGCGACGTACTTTATTACGAAAATTACCACCGAGCACTCCCATTGAGTACAGTGGCGCGACCGCCGATGGCCCGTTTCTCGATACTATCGCCCAAACTTGCTTCTCTCCTCCGCCAGCCGATCGGGAATCCTTATTTTCGTGCGTGCCAGCCCGTTTGGTGCCCATTCATCCACATTAGGTGGTCTTCATCCTGGCCGGGATGACACTCGACACCGCCACCAGGTAACACCAGGCCCCCTCTCCCTCCCCACGCCTTCCCAGACCGTCATCGCCGTCTCTCTCGCACGCGCGCAGCACAACGCTCAGGAAGCGATTATCATGAGAACAAGTGTTTTGTATGGGTGCAAGAGAGGAAGGGAAAGACGGTTGAAGACAGGTAGTTGGAGGGGGGAGTAAAAGTGCCGCTGTCTGTCGCGTACGAGTGTGTGTGTGCGTGGCGCTACTTTCGCATGCAGACAAATTGACGCACATTGTTAGTGCACTGCCCTGGGCTGCCCTGGGCCCAAAGTGGCGCGGCGGCGCGGCCCCAACACCTTTGCTGTGCCGCTGCATTGCTGTGCAGGCGGCCCCGCCCCGCCCCGCCCCGCCATGGCCCCGCGCGCACGACCTCTTTGGAACGCGTACATCGTTGCCGTCGACTTTGCGGAGTGAGTAACGATTTTCTCGCTTTCGGCCGGCCGGCCGGTCGGACGTCCGCCGGGCGCGGCGGCCGTTTTACTGTGGCGGGGCGGGGCGGGGCGGGGCGGGGCCGTTCGTTTGGCGCGGTTTTGGCGGGACTCACGCACGCACTCTCGCACCCACACGCACCCAGGGGCCGCGGCACGGCGGCGAGGCGGCGCGGCGAGGCGGCGTTAGCGGCCCTATATTTATGGACGGGCGCGCTGATTCCTTATTGAAAAGGCGCTGACAGTGTTTCGATAGGAATCATCATTAATTTGAGGCGGCGGTGCACAGCCTGGTGCTGGCTCTGCTGGCTCTGCGGGCCGGGTCGGTATCCGTCCGGGCACCCCCGAGGTATCCTCCGACACGCACTGCGCTGATTGGGATCTCTTCTCATGGTCTCAAAGGTCAACGCTCAAAGGGCTGCCTTTTTCGGCGCGAACGCGCGCCGCCTGGTGGGAAGGAAGACTACCTCTTTTTTGCCGCGCACCTACATGACGAATACGTCGCTTCCTCGCCTGCGATGTCCGGAAGGGTTCTGAAGGGTCTTGAATGGTTCTGAAGGATCTTGAAATGTCCTGAAATGTTCTGAAAGGTTTATAAGGGTCTGGAACGGTCCTGAAAGTCCCTGAATTGTTCTGAAAGGTCCTGAAAGGTTCTGAAGGGTCTTGAAAGGTCCTGAAAGTTGAAGCTGAAGGGTCTTGAAAGGGTCTGAGAGGTTCTGAAGGGTCTTGGAAGATCCTGAAATAGCCTGTGATGCCCTGAAAGGTCCTGAAAGCCCTTGAAAAGTCCTGAAAGGTTCTGAAAGGCGACACCGTCACTTGGTTGGCTGGTAACGCGAGACGCGTCTTCCACGCTTCCTCTGCTGGATTGGCGTGCTGGAAAGACGGACGGACGGACGCAGCCATGTATCTATCTAGGACGGGGCTATCCGTCATCTCATTGTCAGCGTGTCTCGCGTCGCGGGACGGCGCCTGAGCTCCAGAATTCAGAGCCGACAACGTTTTCATTCACGAGCGTTCGAAATGGATCGAGGACTGCGGCTGCAGAGGCTTACTCAAATGCACAGGTACGGCTGGAAAAATAAATATAGGGAGAGGGTAGTTCCTGAGTCGCGCCGCTCCATCGGTTGTCATGGCTTCGGCCGCCCGCACACGACGCCGAGGCCTGGCCGTGGCCACTTGGCGGCCTTTCGCCGCTTTCGGGCTGCTTTGGATCAATTAGACTTAATTCCAATCCACTGGGAAGAGGCGCAGCCATTGAAGCACGTCCAACCAACCGCCATTCCTCTCTCTCCCGCTCAAATTTGTTTAAAGAAAATCTCTTGTAACAGTCGCATTTTTTTGTTTTTTCTTTGGAAGGGGTACATGCAAATAAAGGTCGTTTCTTCGACCAAGAAAATGATTTACTTGCCATGCGGGAGATTTGCTTGAAACATCATTAGTATACTGTCACGTATTATCTTGGTTCAAGAAACGACTTTTTTGGGTGCAGTTGAAGCACCTCTTGAGTACTTCCTACCGTTGCCGGCCCTCGGCTCCGCCCAGTGCAGGGCAGCGCAGAGCGTGTGGCGGGACGGGCACCTCGACTGTGCGACGGTGAATGTTACATGTCATGCGAAAAAAATCCTGTTGGAATGGGAGTTGGGTAAAAACGGCTTTGATGTCTTAATGGTCCGTTAGAGTGCCCGGAGGCCTGGACCAGCAGCACACTGAGAGTTCGTTTTCGTCGCTCTGTCTCTCTCGCACTCAAGAGGCGTTCCGTATAGGTGCGAGAGAGACAGAGCGACGAAAACGACTCCCAGTCCGCAGGGCAGCGTGCGGTCGCGCGGCAGCGTCTGCGGCAGCGGCGGCAGGGCAGGGCGCATCATCTCCGTTCCCGTTGGCCTGTCGTTGGCCTGCGCTGCGGCGTGCAGCAGCGGCGACCCGGGCAGACGGGCACGTGCAGCGTGACCTAGACCCTCCGCCAGACCCTACCAACATCAGGCGTCCCCATCAAACGTCTACATTCCTTCATTTCCTCTCCCCCCCCCACACACACACACAATTTCCCGCTCCCGCAAACTTTTAAATGCAGGCCGTGAGGGGTAAGATGTCGAAGTTGTGCTTTCACGAACTGCGTGGCTGAACCGCCTGAGAAGGCTCAGTCGGGGTTCCGAAACGGGGAAAGGGGAGGCTTCCGAGTCGTCTTGCCAAGGTCGTTACAAGTGCGTCGCGTCGCCCGTTCCGCTCCACTGCCGTCCCTAGGCTGGCTCCCCATTTAAAACGCGATGTCCGTTGCGGTCTCTCCCCCCCTCCCCTTCCCCTCAGCCAGCCCGCGGAGCGCGGCGTGGCGCACCTGTTCAACGTTCACCTGTTGACTTCCTGCCGCCCCCTGCTGCCCGCGCCGGCATGGCCTCGC